TTTAGTATCCAGAAAAATGAGGAAGTGGGCATATTTTAGATAGTTTGTATGCAGGCTTGCTTATTGATGGAACCACGGTCCTGCATGCCTTACTATACTCAGTAGAGTAAGAATGAGGAAGTGTGATCCTCTTCAGATGATGAGATTAAAGTTACCCTCTGTACTCAGAGAGCAGAAAGGAACCAAGTGTGCCCTGAAGTTGGGGTGTGGGGTGTGGAGGGGTTCCTCACCCCTAACTAATGGAGAGCCTGACTTAAAATGAGGAGCAGCTGAATTGCACGATATCATCTGCTGTATACAAGTCTAGATAAAGACACTAAAATTCCAATGAAAACCCACCAAGAAGAAACCCCATTCTGTTTTGTCTCTGGTTACCTTGCCTTATTCCTATTACTTAGGGAATTATTTTTGTCTTCTGTCTCTCCAAGCGTCTCTTGATTAGATGAGCTATGATCACGATGTATAGCCAATAGATTTTAAACTCATTGTTTACCACGTGATAAATAAAATTTTAAGAAGCATTGAAAACTCAATAACAGTTAAAAAAAACTCTGGAGGTATGGCTTTCATACTATAATTTTCATGTTTTTAGAATGTATAATTAAATGACTTTTAAGTAAATATATGTTTTTTAACCAATATCACAATGTAATTTTTAAAAATTCTCATGTTTCCAAAACTTCTTTCATGTGCACTTGCAGTTAACCCCACTTCTACTAGTCCTATGTGACCACCTGTCTGCTTTTTATTTTGATGAATTTGCATTTTCAAGGTAGTTAATGAGTCATACAATATGTAATTTTTTTTTTTTTACAATATGTAATTTTTGCACGTAGCTTCTGTTGCTTAGCATAAGATTTTAGGGAACCAGCTATATTGTAATACATATCAGTAGTCTCTTCCTTTTTTTGGATGGATACTGTTCTATAGTGTATGTGTACAATATTTTGTTTATCAGTTAACTCAACTATAAGCATTCACATACACACACACACAGTGTTTGTGTGGACATTTATTGTTATTTTTCTTAGATGGGTTTCTAAGAGAAGATTTCTGTTCTGTTCAACTTTTTATGAAATTGCTAAACAGTTTTACAAAGTAGCTGTACTATTTTACAGTCCCTCCAGCAGTGAATGTGGGTTTCAGTTTCTCCATATCCTTATCCTTATCCATATCATTTGGTATTGTCTATCTTTTTATTAAGATAGTATCATATTGTGTTTTAATTTACATGACCCTAATGACACTGAGATCTTTTCTGTGTTTATTATGTGTTACTCACATGTCTTGAAGAAATGGGTGCTTTAAGGTTTTTCTCATTTGTTTAGTGCTCTTGTTTTCTTAATATTGAGTTGTATGAGTTCTTTACACCTTGTAGATTGTAGTTCTTTATCAGATACATGATTTGTAATTTTTTTATCCCAGTCTAGTTTATCTTTTCACTTCTTCATATAGTCTTCACAGTCTTTTGAAGTACAAGTTTTAATGTTGATTAAGCCTACTGTATGAATTTATGGATAGTATGTTTGATGTCATAGCTAAGAACTCTTTACCTTAACTCTGTCGTGAAAATGTTCTCCTGTATTTTCATCTAGAAATTTGTATAGTTTTTTCTCTTTTAATTAAGATTATGGAACATTTTAAAAATTAATTTTCACAAATGGAGAAACTACAGGACTAAATTCATTCTCTATCTTTTGGTACCAGCAGCAAGTTTTGAAAAGGCAGCCGCTCCCCTTTAAACAACTTGACTTATTTGTTAAAAATTAATTGGCTATAAATGGACCGTGTCAGTTATTTCCTTGATTCTTCGTGCATTGACTTTAGCTTACTTTTCTATTTCTCCTATTTAAGTAGCTTATTTTTACACAATTGACTTGAGACCTTCTTTTTTAATGTGCATATTTAAAGCCGTAATTTTACTGAGGACATAGGTTTAGTGAAATATCATACATTTTGATGTGCTGGATTTTCATCTGTTCATTGGTTTTCAGCCAAACAGTAATGATATACATATGGATCTTTTTGTGTATATCCTAATTCATGTTCTTTCAGCTTATTAAATGTCTAGAGTAATATGTCTCAAATAATTTGGGAAATTTGGGCCATTATTTTTTCAGACATTTTCCTGATTATTTTCTTCTTTATGGGGAATCCCACCCACATACAATGTTAATTCTCAAGTCTCTGAACTCTTTTTTTCTTTTTCTCTGTTTCTCAGATTGGATAATTTCTGTCAGTCTGCCTTCAAGTATGAGTTCTTCTACCATCTTTAATATCCTCGAGTCCCTCTCATAAATGTTTCATTATTCTTAAACTTTTCACTCCAGAATTTTTAAAAATTTCTGTTCTTTTTAAAAATTTATTGTGACACACTTTCTTTTAGTTCTTTAAATTAATTCTGTGTAGCCCTTTGAATATATTTATAATAGCAGCTTGGATATTTACTTTCTAGTACAATTTTTGGAAGTACTCAGGACATAGTTTGTTTTGACTTTTTTTTTCCTTAGAATGATTATACTTGCCTGATTCTTTGTATGTCTTATATTTGCTACTTTAAAATATTTTGTGGGGATTCTGATTTCCCTCAAATTTGCTGTGGTTGCTACTCATTGATTATTTGTTTAGTGAATTATACATGAAATTATATTTCTCAGGGAATATGACTACTTCTCTTTTCTCTCAGGATTTTGTTTGACTGTTGATTTTTCTGAGACTTGCTTTTATTTTTAAGCTTCCCTTCTCAGGAGTCCTCTGTGTCCATAGTGGTAGCCAGTGACTAGACAGAAGTCATTCTCAAGCCCCTTGATTAAGGCTGCTGTCTTCTGCCAAATGGGCATGTACATGAATGGGTGGCACACTCATAGATGAGGTCATTTCAAGGCTTCTGCATCCTTGACCTTTTGCCGAGACCTTTCATGCCCTCTCTGGATCTTTCCCAGCTCAATATGTCTGGCTAGCTTGAACTTCTTGGGTCTCCCCTATGCATAAATGACAACACCCTAAGCCAGCTCCTACTATGAAGTCCTCAGGCTAGCAGGGCACCTGCCCTCCTGCTCACCTAGATTTGTCATTTCTCCTTCAGCACTGCTGACCATGAGCATAGCTTCTACTCCATACTAAGTGACCTTGAGCTGGTGGCTTTGCTGCTGGTCCTCATGGCATGCTGTACCCAAGAACTACCAGTTATTGGGCTGGGTGTTGTTGGCAGGGGGGTGATAAAGGGAAGGTAGCTGCTTGGATAAGAGTAGTACTGTTGTTCTCTGAGTTCTGCAGTTTTTCACGTACGAGCATGTCACCAGTTCTTGCATGTACCTAATCATTTCCACAGGGATAGAATGCTTAATTTTGTCCATTTTGCCACCCTTTATAGGTATATCTCATGGAGTGGCTTTACTGACCTCTTCACTAGGCCATAAGCCAGAGGTCCTTTTAAAATATGAAAAGAATACATGCAGTTATGTTTATTTAAGGGTGTGGCTTTATTTAGGATTCCCAGTTAATCCAAAGATAAAACCCTCATGGCTTAAATGCTCTTGGCTAGACAGGTAGAAAGTGAGCCTATGAACTGAAAGGCCTGGTCTAACTGTCTTCCTGAGACCCTGTTCAATATGAAGAAGCAGTTAAACTTCCTTCATCTCTGTGATTTATCAGTGGGCTGGAAAGCAAAGTCTTATAGCCACTTCAGCTTGACCTATTTATTTTACCCAAGTTCCTACTGAACTATTTGACACTATGAAGTTAAGGTGTGGCATATAATGCTGGTTCTTAGCCATTCTTTCCCATGTACCTACCATTTTTGTTCTTTGCTATAATCCAGGCAGCAATCTTATGAGACACAAGTGTCCTCCTTACAGGGTAGATCAGCAGGTGAAGCCACCTGCTCCCAGTTTGTGTGAACTGACTGACGCCCTAACCTGCTGCCTGTCTTCTCACACCTTTTATTTCCCTTACCCAACTGTGAAAATAATACGTGCTTTTATAAAAACATAGGAAGAACACAATTAAACTCCCAAATCCTTCAAACCACTCAGCAGAGTCCATACTCACATTTTAGGGTGTTTCCTTTAGGCTGTAACTTCACAACATTGTGTCTGCACTGCGTATGTTCTTTAGAGCCCAGTTTTAAAATAAGAAATTCAAACTTACGAAGTTACTTTAAACTTACTGTATAAATTTTGGAATATCCAGAAAAAGATGTAAAAGTCTATGGTTATTTTCTTTAATCCCTTCATATATACATATTTGGGTTCTTAATTTTGTCAAATGTAATCTTATGGTATACAAAGTACTTTTTATCATGTATTTACTTTTGCTTTAATGCACATGTATTTTCCATAATTATTACAAATTATATATAAACCTAGCTTTAAGTGGATATAAGATATTTCGTGGAAACATCCAGTTCTTAGATGTTTAGTTTTATTTTTTACCTTTCCAAGAGGAAAATCTAGGTAATGAATAATAAGTATCATTTATTCAGAGTTACATCCTAAGAAAGATTCTAGAGTCAGATGACTGGGTCAAATGTAGAAATAATGTAATCTCATGAGACATTGATCCAGAATAGCTGTACAGTGGTCATTAGAAGCAGCGTAAGGTGACCCTCTGGACAGCCTACAGCATCAGCAGCCATTGCTGCTCTCTCACTCACCTGATGCAAAAATACCTTGACTAAATATTTGCATACAAAAATATGTATAAAAGCCTGTCAGCAACAAAGTTGATGAAGACTAGTTATCATTAAGAATTCCTGGTATGTGACAATTGTTTTTAGTACCTAAGTGAAATACATTTTGCCAAGTTAGTGCAAGTGCTGTGCTATATTTTAAAAGTTTTCTTGCTACAAAAAAATAGAATAAAATTGTATGTTGTTACTTTAAATCTCTTGAAGATTAACGCATGTTTCATCTAAAGTTTTGTTTGTCTATATTGTGGTGAATCAGTTTGTAACTTTAATGGAATGAGATACTTCTTTCCTTCTCCTTCCTTACCACTAGGATCTGAAGAAGAAGCTGAAGAGAAACAGGATAGTGAAAAGCCACTTTTGGAGTTGTGAGTCCTGCTTTATAAAGTAAGTGTTCATAAATAAAACTATAACAATGAGGTATTTAAATGTGGAGCATTTTCTTTAGGTATTGAAAATAAACTTCAAAAAATGTGAATGCAATCATAGCCACATTTGTCATATTTGCATGAATGTAGCAGACACATTACACTGATGTCAAATTCCGTAATAATTTTGTATAGGTAGAAAAATGCCTCAATTCTTAAATTTCAAAAGAATAAGGAGGAATTCATGTTTCTAAACTTAGCCAGAATATCTTTGTACCAGATACTGTTTTAATTTTAGGCCCTAAATAGTCCTAATAGTTCATTTAGGACAGTGATTCTGTGAGGTATAGGGACTGCTATTACCTCCATGTCACACTTGAGGAACAGAGACTGTGACGATAGGTAAGGACCTTGTGTAAGCTCACACAGCTAAAAGTATACAAGCTTGGCTCAGACCCACCCACTGTGGACCCAGAGCCCCCTGCAGTTAAGTCTTGGAAAGCCAGGACAGTGACAGGTGGGCGGCTGGGGCAGCCAAGGTCATGGAGGATGAGCCCTGCGTCAACATCAGCATCAGCAGCACCCCTCTCCACAGCAGTGGTGTAGACAGGAAGCAGAAAGGCAAAATCCAAATAGTCTTCTCTAAAATGCTTTAAAATAAATCATATATGGCCACCCGTGTCCTTTAGGCGTCTCTGTCACAGCTCACCTTCAGTATAGACATTTTGGAAATATCAGGCAGCATAGCATTTTGCATCAGCACCACAGCTCAACACTTCTCTTTACCCTCTTTCTAAGTGTGAAGAACCCTCACTGAAGGTCATCCGAGGGAAAAGGATGGAGATGGCATTTCCCATTGACAGTTGAAATGGTGACATCCCCTGCTGGCCTTGTTGAACGGCTAATAAAGAATTTATTTATGGTGATGCCTCATGACATCTTCCTACATCCATCATACTCAGTCCCCACTGTGGCTTTCAAGTCATGTCATGACTCTTCCTCTGTTCAGTGAGACTCAGTCTGACCTGTTAGTGAGTAACTGAAGGAAAATCCCTACTGTATCTGAATCAAAAGACTTCTTAATATATTGAAATAACACTTTTGTAGTAAGTGAAAATACTTTTTATTTCAATTCACAGAATGGAATTTTTTGTTTCAAGTCGTGGATTTCTTTTGTATTTCTTTTTTAACACCCTACATTTCCCTTGTGTTTTCTAAATTCATGCACATGTGCTCTTTGTACAATTAAAAAGTAATAAAAATCCAATATATCAAGATGACTAGTTGTGTTTTCATTGTATATTATGTATTTGTGAGGTGTTGGAATAACAAAAGCCAGATCAGTCACACCCATGTGCTGTTCTAAGTGTACACCAGTTTCAGAAATCTCTGGGAGGTTGGGGTCCAATGAGGAAGAGCTCATTGTGATGAGGGCTGAGCTAACTCTCCAGGATCTGACCTTGGGATGGAACTTATGTCAGTGAAAAATTTCCATCTTAGCATGTTAAAACTATTCCAGGAATGGGTGGAGAGGAGGATAAAGGAGAGTGATGGAGGAGGTAAATTCAACCATGATAGATTATAAGAACCTTTGTAAATGTTACAAAATCCCCAGTACAACAATAATATGATAGTAAAATTTAAAAAAAAATTTTTTTCCCATCTCGGGAGCAGATTTGCATATACACCATATCCACAGATGAGGCCTAAACCAAATGTCAGGCTATCACTTCAACCTGAGAAAGAACATTCCCCAGATACTCTGGGAAGAGCCAGAAAAATGAAGCTGATCCTCTTAGGAAGAACCCAAGTGTTGCTCAAACATTGGTTCTCTGAGCATAGACCAAGGGGAAAGGTGTATATGATCTGACTGCACCAGCAAGTCAGACTATGGAACCCTAAAGTGGTTCAGCAATAGTTAAACTTCATGAACAGATAAGCCTAGGGGCTGGATGCCTACTCTTTACCATTCCTGGGGAGCATGGAGATGGATGTATTTGCTTCTTATGCATACATTGTAAAACAGCTGTCTTCTAACTGACCCCTCAAACCCATATTTCTGATGTTCATGTCCTCAGTTAAGCCTTACTCCCGTTAAATCTGAAGCCATTCTGTCTCTGTACGGCACTGTTCTTTTGACGTCTCTTACACAGTTGAACTTAGGGTTTCTGTATGTCTGTGCTCCTGAAGCATCTGACCATTGCTCATATCCATGTCTACTTACGCGAGAGTTCAGACCATGGTCTTCTGCCACCACGCTACACTCTTGTCTATACTGAGAAAATAAAACCAGAAGGTATTAGAATCCATTAAGCAAATACCAGAGAAAATCACAGACACTTGGTTGACTATTAAGATTAGATTGATAGTGTAGATGTCCTTCTCTGCTTCACGGGAGAGGAGTGATGGAAGGCACAGTGTCTGTACATTCTTGGCCATCAGATTCCAGCTCCCATAGCAGCTGATGCACTTGTGTATCAAATGCTGGGAACCCAGCCACCCACAGCTAGGAGAGTGAGTAGGACAACCATCTCCTGTGTATGGAGATGGACACTTGCTTTCTATTAGCTGTGGCCTTTTGAAAGTGGGCAAGGTTGGTTGTGGTTTAACTGTCCTATTTTCTAACACTAGCCCCTGCTGCACTGTCCCAACCAGTAGGGGCTGGTTTGACTTTGAGCATTTTCCAGGAAGCAATGACATTTGTCAGAGTAAGTAAACAAAAGCCTGAGAAAATAAAACACTATCAGCCACAGCATTGCCTGCCTGTCCCCTTCTCTGTCCCTTCCACCACCAGTGCTCTCCCTCTCTGTGCTGCTGAACTTCAGGGCAGCCTATGTGGACTGGGATAGGAAGGCACTAAGTTTTGAAACTACAGGAGAAACTGTCTCATGCTCTGGGCCAGTCTTACCAGACTCACAGAGCTCTGGGTGATGGACCGTTTCTGATCTAACTGTCTCAGCTTCTCCAGTGCAGAGATGGCTCCACATCTCTAAACAGACACCAGGAATTTGGCCTAAAGATGCCTGATCTATTCATATGCATCAAGGAGTAGATCTAAATTAAATTTAGCCTTTCTTCAGCTTACTTCTCATTTTCTTTCCAAATGGAACCTTTGTTTGGTTTCTAGAAATACATGTTTCACAGAATCTGAAACTGCTTGTAGTAAAGGAAAGAAAACCTTTCCAATGTTAAATAATACATTATTTAAATTCAAATATATAAAGTTTTAACTTAGTAGTATTCCTTAATGAAAACTAAAAATACACTGATTTTTTTTCACTCACCTACCATATGTTGAACATTTTGTTTTATATATTTGCCTGTAGAAATGCACACAGACACAGCCAACAAAGGTCCTACTTGTTAGTATTATTATTCAAATGAAAAAATGGTCAGAGGACATGAACAAATATTGCCAAGATTTGAAAGATGTTTGTCTTAACTCATAATAAGAAAAAGCAAATTAAAACTGTAATGATACCCTATTTTAAACATCAAAATAGCATAATCCTTCAGTCTGAGAGGCCTCTCTCAGACATTCACGTGAACAGGGCTCTTTGATCTGGCATCCTCAAAAAATTACCAATGTACATGTTCAAATTGACACAGAATGATTTGGTACAGAGTTTTTATAGTAGCAATAGATTGAAAATAGACCAAGGATGCATTTGAAGTAACTGATGAAACATAGTATTTTATACCAGAAAAATAGTCTGTGGCTGTCTAAATGTCCCTATGCACCAAAATTACAAGAGCTCTCACTCAGAGTTATAAATGAAATGAGTCATACAGAATAGTTCATATCGTGTAATAAGGGGAAATGGGAAAATAGCATATTATACATATTATGTACGTACATCCATATTTAAAGAAAAGTTTTGATTTTTAAACCACATGAATGTATTTAATAGTTTTAATAACTTCATGCCCTGCATATTGTATTTCTGTACCGTGTCCTGATTATTTTCCATTTCCTTATAGCATTTACATTTTTAGAACATGCATATTGATCTATCCTGTAACATCCTTTAGAAATTTCTGTTTAGGCATTTGGGTTAATTTGGGCTGCTCTAAGGAGCACTGTAGTGAATGAGCATCCTTGCAAATGATGTCAGAATATACCTTTTGGTTCCTCAGTAAGTCAGTGAATCAGATAATGAGAACACTTTGCAGGAGAGCCACTAGCAACACAGTAAGGTACTCCGTGCTGCTGCTCAAGGCTTGCAGTTGGGACAGCGAGGGTTCTGGAGCTGTTTCAGGGACTGGCTAGCCCCAATCCTGGCTGTGCATTAGAATTACTGAAAGATTTTCAAGTCACTCTATCTGGCCTGCGATAAGACTGGCGCCTCTGACTGTCAGGGCCAGTGAGGAAAAGAGGAAGAGCCACTGGAAGAATGGATAGAGCAATAGGTCTTAAGTTAGAGTTGGAATCATTTAGACTCTGGGCTTACTCTATGCGTAATACTAGGCATATTTTATACTGTGGCCTACTCAGTATTTATCAGGAAAAATTTAACACACCTCCTAAGTCTTTTCTGCATTTAGCACAGGCATATTTAACATCTGGGCTTCCTCAGTTTTGATCTTTAGGTCTCTGACCTCATCTTAATGAAGTGGCATAATGTCTGTACTGTGGTGCAGCTGAGAGCATTAGAAAGCATGCCAACTGATGGACAGTGTTCCTGATATCTATAAGTGGTAGGTATTTGTTATAATTCAAACAAAACAGAAAACAAATAGCCTAACAGAACATGATGAAAACTGATTTCAGTTACGAGTTTTCATGGTTCATGAAAATGTTGAGTTTCTAGCCTTTTGGCTGAATAATATCATCTTGGTACAATGTCTATGGTAATGTCTTATTAGGATTTCTAATTAACAATTATATAGGACTTAGGTTAATAAAATGGGGAAAATCAACTTATTAATTATGGCCTATTTGATAAACAAAAAAGACTTTAAACATCATGTGTCTGAGGAAAAGAATTCCAAGACAGTGAAGAGAAAGCATAAAAGAGAAAATTTTGAGAATTGTTGCCTGGACTCTTCCCCCATCCCTTTTTTATTTTACAATGAAAATACATGGAGCTTCTTTAGTTTTTTAAAAAATAATTAATATAGACATAGGGTGCTCTAGTTCTATGGTGACTATCAAGACATGAGTGTCTTCATGTGGAATTATATAAATCTTTACGTCATTTTTCAGTTGAACACCTTTGAATGCAGCCTGCTGTTCCAGAATTTATTTCATCCAGATGTATTAAGGAATTGAGCCATTAATGGATGTATAAAAGTTCCCAGCATGAAAACTGAGTGGTAGGTTGACCTGTAGCTCTCTAATGTGAGAACAATACAAGAACCAGGAAAGGAAATACAGAAAGGTAAGGGGATAATTATCTGCACCATTAGCTCTGTGCCTGATGAGAAGAAGATTTTCCTGTAGAATAATCCATTCCCACTCCACACTCACATCCTGCAGAAGACAAAGGAAGAGCTGCTGAAGCCAGGCTGCTAGGGTCAAATCCTGTTTATTAATAGCTGTATAGCTATAGGGTGGTTCCTTTGTCTTCTCTGCCTCAATTTTCCCTTCTACAGAACAGCCAGTTGTACATATCTCATAGTGTACTGGTGAGAATTAAATGAGGTAACACATACTGAATCTACTACCTAGTACATATTAAGCACTAACCAGTGATTTCTGTTATTTATTACCCCTTTAGGGTGACAGTCATTTTGTAACTTCATATATAAATTAGAAATTTTTTAATTTGGGCACAATCTCCTAAAGATGGATAAACTTAAGTGTCAGACTCAACTGTAGATAATGATGTGATGTATATTTCAAAAAACTCTTTGGAAAAGAGATTTTGAATTTTCTCATGACAAAGTAATAATGTTTGAGGATATCTATGTGGTTATCTTTGTTTAAACATTAAACAGTGTGTACATACACAAAATCATCACATGGGATCACATAAATATATAGAAATTTTATGTGTCACTAAAAAAAAGAATAAGTACAGTTAGTTAGAGCCAGACCAAGTATCCTAGGCTGTAACTAGGTGTGAAGTATGGATCCTGGTCCATGCTTCTTGTCACCACACCATGTGTCTTCCATATGTGACATTTGTGCTGAGGTGGAAAAGTCCTGAACCAAAAAGGATGCATCATCTCCCTCGGACCTCAAAAATGCTCATGGCTACATCAGACACTTACACAAAGTGATTCTAGGGACGTCAGGGCCCATCCAGTCTGGAGATGTGCAATATCAGAATACTACGCACATCCAGAATGGATTATTCAGGGTCATTCTGTGCCTAAAGCTCACAATCCAT